AAATACAAAATGACAGACCAACAGCAAAATCCAAGCGCTTAATGCAGTGTTATGGCTACCAAGTTAGCAGCTGTTTTAGGAATCAAGGGCAGGAGATAAGTGACTTGCTTACCACTTTATATGTGCCAGGCTGCATAGCCAATTTGTCAGCAATGAAGTTGAAAAGAAGCTTCAAAAACAAGAAGGCCGAAGTCAGTTGAGGATGACAAAAAAGGCTAAATATAAGTTATGTTAAAATGTCAAAACATAAGGGAGTAAATTGCAAAACGCCATAATAAGACAGAAATATATATTTAGCCTAATCAAAATTCTAGCAGTCCTACTGAGCATCCATGAAATTTTACTTGAAGTCTGTCTGAATTAAGAAAGCGGTGCTGATGGCAACGTCCATCTGGCATTCGAAGAAGAAGAGTTACTGAATCTTTATTATCTATTTCTGGTTCCGGAGGAAATGGTGCTTCTTGCACATCTAAATTTCTTCCAGTGTCCTGTTACACGTAAGATAGAGAAGTTTTAATGTTAATACTTGCCTATCTTCAAATAGGGATAGAGAAGTTTGATTTGATCCATTATTACAATACATTGAAAGAGGTTTAAATCATCTTGATCTCTGAACACAATACAGAAGGACGATATTCGGTATAAGAACACTTCGTGCAGAATTTGATGCAGTAGAATTAGTGATTAATTAGATATTTTGATAAATTCCTTGGTTAATTAGGTTTAGGATTAGTTTATTTGGTTAATTAGGATTATGATTTGTTTGTTTCCCAAATAAGTGTAACAACCCAAGCCCACTGCTAGCAGATATTGTCCTCTTTGAGCTTATCCTTTTGGGCTTCCCCTCAAGATTTTAAAGCGCGTCTGCTAGGGAAAGGTTTTCACACTCTTATAAGGAATGCTTTGTTCCCCTCTCCAACCGATGTGGGATCTCACAATCCACCCCCCTTAGGGCCCAGCGTCCTTGCTAGCACACCACCCCGTGTCTGGCTATGATACCATTTGTAACAACCCAAGTCCATCGCTAGCAGATATTGTCTTCTTTGGGCTATCTCTTCTGGGTTTCCCCTCAAGATTTTAAAGCACTACTAGGGAGAAGTTTCCACATCCTTATATGGAATGTTTCGTTCTTCTCTCCAACCGATGTGGGATCTCACAGTAAGGTTTGATCCGGCATGAAGTTCGGTGAAAGAGCATGAAAATTGTAAAAAAACATAGTCCAAAAACAGACTGCATAAAAAACTAGCGACATTTTAGAATCCATAGCTAATTATAAGATCGACAGTGAAGTATATATAGCCTAAATTATTAGCTAAAACCATGGAATACAGGACAAACCTTTTGTTGCTGTTGTGATTGCTCTGTTGATGAAGATGGTATTGACAAACATGGTACAGGTTGCAGATCAGTGCCCTTACTTGTGCCTTGAATTTTATCATTTTGCAAATGAGATGCTGGCACAGAGTTCTCTGAGAAGTCTTCAGAAACTCCCCCAAAAATGGCAGCTTCAAGAAAAATTGCTTCACTTAACTCCTTTGAATTGATGCCACCCCACTTCAAGCTCAGGAAACAAAATACATGATTTAAGTTTCCATAAATATCAAACAAATGTTAGTTTTGCCCCATCAAGCATGCTAGAGGAAAATGGAGGTCCTAACATATTCTCATAATATATAAAACACATTCATTGCCAAAATGTTTGTGCATGAGTGAGCGTGTCATTCACATATGTATATGGGAACAAGTCAAAGATATACATGGAACATAGTACCTCATTAGGATAGAAAGGATCTTGATCATGCTGGTGATGAGTACTAGTCCCTCCCTTGCTCTCCTAGGAATTTTGATGAAAAATTATTTTTTGTGTGAAATAAAATGCAGATCTAAGTCAGTGAGTAGCATAAAAAGAAAAAAGATCACAAATGACAAATAGTGACCAATACCTTTGGTCCACTGTTGCTGGGTTCACCCCTTCCTATGCTTGAAGCTTCATCTTTATTCTCTGGCATCAGCTCGCGGACTGCTTTCTCTTGCTCGGCTATCTGAAATCAATTCAACCTTTAAGGGATGGACAAACAGCATACTACCAATTTTATTTCTAAGAAATGGCGGATAAATACCCTCAACGACAATGAAACTGCATGAGCAAGATCATCATCCTCTCGCTGAAGTTGTCTTTGTAAGAGCTCAGCATCAGAATCCTGCAATTCAATCATGGAGAGAAAACATTAGTAAAAGTAATATATAACAAACGATTAAGAACTAGAATAAATGTCTAGCAATGGCTGTAAGCTACTGATCAAATGCTTCAACCTGTTTTGAAGCCTCAATAGCAGCTCTAAGCATTTCATCCTCAGTGTCTCTCTCTGTTTTCTGATTACTGAATGATGAACTGTGATTTTCACCTTCAAAGGTACCCCTCCATGCTTGATGAGATGGTTGCGCCAGAAGGGAATTGAACCCTGAAGGAACTGACCCCATGCCTCCTGGTTGTGGATGTGAACTAGAAGATGGAGGGCCAAATGATGGGTATCTACGCATCTGGTCAAAAAGATGTCTTCTATAATTGGGATCAAGAAGGCTTGATGGCCTGAAACTTCTGGCAGCATTAAGAAGTGGCGAAAGCCCATATTGTCCACCTTGACTCCCACCATTTGCATTTGTGTAGTTATGCTCTGGGATGGTGGGAGCAACATACCGACTAAGCAAGAAGGAACAGAACAAAGAAAAGATGAGAAATAAGTAGTGTATGCACCCAAACAGATGAAGCCTGCATATTGCAAGATAAAAATAAGGAGAAACAATGTAAAACTACGTACTTGAAACCGTACCCTTCACTGAAATGAGCATTGACAGCTGCATTGATATCACCTCTATATTCCTGCGTATGACCGTAATGTTAGATTTACTAGAACGCTAACGCTAATAAAAACAAATTTCAGGTGGAAAGGCTTTGTAACATTTTCTGAGCTCATATTCAAGTTAAAGTGCATGCTTTATAGGTCTGGTCGATACTATAGTACATGACCACCACCAAAATTGCACATACAAATGGGGGAACTAAGGAATCAAATAATCGATAGGTTATTCCTAATGATTAAGTGAAAAAGGGAAACTTTATTGACGCAAACCCGTGTGATCATGATGAAGACACCCAAATAGAGATGGGTGATCCCAATAATAAATCAAGAAGTTATCCCAAAATGTGTCGAAGTAAAACAAAAATGGAAGTAAGTTTGTGGTAGACCAAGATTGACATCAGAAATGAACAAATATTAAGCTGTCACCACTTCTACCTAAGAGCTCTCTATTTTGTTGTCTGTTGTTAAGTATGACAAAGAGATCAAACGTTTAAAATGAAAATCATTGTAAAGAAATTGGAAGAAAATCAGCAAAATTTTCAAAAACTAGATGTTACCAATCAGACATAAGAACTCTAGTCACGCGGAACTATATTATGGACGAAAAATAGAGCAATTTTTTATTTCAAGAGTTAGTAAGAAGCCACCATAGGAAATTTTTATTCCAGCCATTGTCACAGGATCAAACGAAACAACGGTAGTGAACCAAATAAACTAAATCGAGCATTAACCTTCAAATTTCACCACATTACTCCCAGATTCTCAACTAAAAGCGATCAATCACCATACACGGCAAGAACTAAAACCAAATCACCAATTAATAACCATAACCATAACAGATTCATTATAAGATGAAATGTGTATCAATCACGACAAATACAGCAAATCAAACACCCGAAGATCATGATAACATAAAAAAAAAAGTACGAGATCGGACAATAAAAAGAGAAGGCAAGAAAAAAGCAAAACGGAAAGTGGACCTCGAGCTTGCGGAGGGCGAGAGACTCGGAAGCACCGGTGATTCTCATGAAGGTTTCGACGGCTTCTTGATCCGGCCAGGCCATTGCTTCGTAAAGTCCCGTGAATTTGCAGAGAGAGAGAGAGAGAAGGGGTTTCGGTGGACTTCGGCGTTCAGGCGGTGTGGAAGCGACGAAAATGCAGACGGTATTTATAGGCACGAACTCCGATAATGCCCGCCATTTTGGTTTTGATTTTCTTTGTTTGGATAAAGGTTACAGTTTCAGGCTTTCTGCCATTGGCCTCAGAGAAGACTAAGTTTTTTCTCTTTTCTATTTTTATTTATTATGTAAAAAAAAAAAAAATCATTTTATTACATTTCAATATATATATTTATTTATTTTTAAAATTAGATTAAAACTTATAGCTCAATTTTAATATATACCTCTTAATTTAATATTTAAAAATTAAAATTCTCACTCAAAATTAAAATTGTGTTATATATGCATATGAAATATTAATTTTATCGATTAATAAATTTATAAACAAAAATAATAAATATTTTACTTTACAAATTTATACAAAATTATTATATAAAATACTCTGATTCACTTGTCTTTACTTTAAATTAAATTATTTTATAATAATTAAAAAGTGAGTTATACGAATCATTAGGGACCATTTAATTCAAAATTTTATTTATTATGTTATTTAATTTTAGATAATTAATTGTGGTCAAAAATCATTTTTAATAAATAAAGAATTAATTTATTTAATAGTTTTTTTCGAAATAAATTAAATAAACTATTATTGATTTATTATAATAAAGTAATTAATTATAATAATGTAATTTTCCATTGAATTTATTTAAAATAAAATAAATTAGGAGGGGAATTTTTCAAAATTTTATATAAATAATTATAAATAATATGCTTTTAATTTTAGATTTTTTTAAATTTATTTAGATTATTTTTAAACGGGATTGGTTCTAATTTTTTAGAATTATGTATTCAAATTTTTGTTTGTAATAAAAATAAAATATTAGTTTATAAACTATCAATTAAAAATAAAATATTAGCTTTACCATGAAACGACGGCGTTTTACCACACGTGCCCCGCATCGCACGTGGCATCCGATCTCCCCGTCTTTCCCAGGTCCGAGTGCTGCAATTCACTATTACATAAGCAAGAAACTCACAAACAAAGCCAACAAATACACTTCCTGAACTGTGTGTACGGATACTTTCTTCCATCTCAGTAAACCCTAATTCTCCACTTCCAAATCCCATTTCTCCTCTGAATTATCTCGATTTCGATCTCCCCATCGCTATGCAAGGCGAGGACGAGCCCTCCGGCAGCGCAACAATGGTCGAAGACGAGATCTACGACAACGGCACAAGCCCCGATGACGAAAAGCGCAATAGACCCATTATTACTGGTGAGCAGCTCGACATTGAAGCCTATGCCAGTCTTTACTCTGGTCGCACGAAGATCACTCGTTTAATCTTCATCGCCGACCACTGCGATGCCGACCAGTCTTTACTCTGGTCGCACGAAGATCACTCGTTTAATCTTCATCGCCGACCACTGCGATGCCGAGACTAACCAGACGATGCAGCTTGAGGCGCTTCGGATGGCTTACGACGAGATTAAGAAGGGCGAAAACGCTCTTTTGTTTAGGGAAGTCGTGCCGAAGATCGATCGGAGGTTGGGGCCTAATTATGGAAGAAAACGCTCTTTTGTTTAGGGAAGTCGTGCCGAAGATCGATCGGAGGTTGGGGCCTAATTATGGAATGGATGCCACTTGGTGTGAGATGGTCGAGAGGAGGGCTGAGCAGAGGAAGGAGAAGCTCGAGAATGAACTCAACGCATATAGGGTACATTACGTTTAATTTAGACTCCTTCAACTTTTTTTAGGGTAGTTTTGTTGCGATTCTCATGTTTTCCGGGTTTCTTCCTTTCAATTTTCTGCCACTTTTTTTAGGGTAGTTTTGTTGCGATTCTCATGTTTTCCGGGTTTCTTCCTTTCAATTTTCTGCCATGGATTTCCTGATATCTTCATTGTTCGTGTTACGGTTCTTGAGCGTCGGTTGTGGTGTCAATGGAAAGGGTTTATAACAGAAATTTCACGGCAGTGCTCGAATTTTTGAACTTAGCTCCTTATAAGTGGAACCATTTCGTCTGAAATTGGCTGTTGTGTTATTGGCTACTTCTTTAGGAATTTGTGGTTTCCATATTTGACATACGATCGTTGTTACTTTTTGCAGACTAAGCTACTTCTTTAGGAATTTGTGGTTTCCATATTTGACATACGATCGTTGTTACTTTTTGCAGACTAATTTGATAAAGGAAAGTATAAGGATGGGATATAATGATTTTGGAGATTTTTATTATGCTCACGGTGCACTTGGTGATGCCTTTAAAAGCTATGTTCGTACACGTGATTATTGTACGACATCAAAGCATATCATTCATATGTGCATGAGCGCAATTCTTGTCAGCATAGAGATGGGCCAATTTACACATGTCACGAGTTATGTCAGCAAAGCAGAACAGACACCAGAGGCCCTAGATGCAATTACTAGCGCAAAGCTTCGCTGTGCTGCAGGATTGGCTCACTTGGAAGCAAAGAAGTACAAACTTGCTGCTCGCAAGGAAGCTTCGCTGTGCTGCAGGATTGGCTCACTTGGAAGCAAAGAAGTACAAACTTGCTGCTCGCAAGGTTTGTTTTCTGGTGCATATTAGGATCCTGTAGTTCAGTTCGGTTTGTACTGAATTGTCTTGAATCTCTGTCTTCGAAGTTCCACTACAGAGAATGCATACTATTCTGTTTTTGTCAATTGAATTGGATATTCTTATNAAAGCTTCGCTGTGCTGCAGGATTGGCTCACTTGGAAGCAAAGAAGTACAAACTTGCTGCTCGCAAGGTTTGTTTTCTGGTGCATATTAGGATCCTGTAGTTCAGTTCGGTTTGTACTGAATTGTCTTAATCTCTCTCTTCGAAGTTCCACTACAGAGAATGCATACTATTCTGTTTTTGTCAATTGAATTGGATATTCTTATTCTTCGAAGTTCCACTACAGAGAATGCATACTATTCTGTTTTTGTCAATTGAATTGGATATTCTTATAGCAGTTGTGTTTGTGTATGAAGGGCTAGAATATAGAACAGCACGATCGTCATAGCCTTTCTTTATTGTATGGCATCATATGTAATCTATATTTTGCATTTGAGTTCTGTTAAATGTCTGTGTTAATGTTGATTGTGGCGTTGGGAAGCTTTTTCTTTCATCTTGATTCTGTTATTCTTTAATACGTTTGCAGTTTTTGGAGACGGGTCCTGAATTAGGAAGTCATTACAACGAAGTGATTGCACCTCAGGATGTTGCAACATATGGTGGTCTTTGTGCACTTGCAACGTTTGACCGCTTGGAGCTAAAGGCACATATTCTTTGTTTCTTTTTCCTGCTAATCATGTTCCCTATGGAATATAAGACAAGTGACTTGCTTATTTTTCTGACTAATTGTTTTAATTTGGCAGTCCAAAGTTATAGACAACGTCAACTTTCGAAATTTCTTAGAGTTGGTTCCTGTAGTTCGAGAGCTGATCAATGATTTCTATTCGAGGTTTGTGGAGTTATTATCCATTATAATAAGCATTCGTCACCAATCTTTTTTTAAGGCATTTACTATCTCTAGCCTTCGGTTCATGAATCCATCCTTCCATTAGTACAAATTTAAAATTCAATCGGACATGGTTTTAAGCATAAACATAAATTAAGGACAAGAGAATGTCTTTTTCAATCATTGAAGAATCGGACATGGTTTTAAGCATAAACATAAATTAAGGACAAGAGAATGTCTTTTTCAATCATTGAAGTCTTCCAACTACCTAACATATTAATTCAGATATGAAGCTTTCTTGTTTATAATTTTTTTTGATTTTAAGTGCACAAGTCTTGAATACCTCAGATATTTATCAATTGGTCATAGAGATTAATTTGCATGCTCTGATGTTCCTCTATGAACTAGTAGTTTGTACTTTATCAATTGGTCATAGAGATTAATTTGCATGCTCTGATGTTCCTCTATGAACTAGTAGTTTGTACCGGAATTGATCTATTTTTTCATGATGAAATCATTCCATTTTTCTTGCAGCCATTATGCATCATGCCTGGACTACCTTGGGAATCTTAAACCCAACTTATTGCTTGACATTCATTTACATGACCATGTTGAGACGCTCTACGATCAAATACGCCACAAGGCTCTCATCCAATACACTCTCCCATTTGTATCTGTTGATCTCCACATGATGGCCAATGCTTTTAAAACAAGTGTTACTGGTCTTGAGAAAGAGCTGGAGACACTAATCACCAATAATCAAATCTGCTTTTAAAACAAGTGTTACTGGTCTTGAGAAAGAGCTGGAGACACTAATCACCAATAATCAAATCCAGGTTTCTTTTGAACCATCCTTCATTTGTTTGTTGTTTCGATTTATATAATATTGTTATTACATGAAATGCTTCATGATGGTTGGATGGATTTATAATCTGTGAAAAAAATTATTATGAGGCATTGGACATGAAATGCTTCATGATGGTTGGATGGATTTATAATCTGTGAAAAAAATTATTATGAGGCATTGGAGCTATTCCACTGGTTGCTGTGTACTCATAACTCATAATGCATAACTAGGATTAAGCGTTATCTTTGGCTATCTGAAGTTCTCTTGATAGTGTCTTGTCTTCCTCCCTCCCCCCACCCCAACCAAACTTGTACAACTATCTGAAGTTCTCTTGATAGTGTCTTGTCTTCCTCCCTCCCCCCACCCCAACCAAACTTGTACAACTGATTATTGGTTAACTGGGATCAAATCAACTTTTAGATGCATCTTTAAACCTATTAGCGACGAACGTTGTTAGGATTAATTGGATTCAGTTTAGTATTCAAGTGATCACTACATAACTTTTAGTTGTGGTAAGGCTACTTAGATGCTACAGGGCTTTATAATTCATAGGATTCGAGCTTATATGCATTTCTGTGGAGTTTTATTTCGTTGAAGTGCTGAAATTAATAACAGAGCTTAGCTACAAATGTGACCAAAAATTGCCCAAATCAACAAAGGGCCAGGCAACAAAATGTTTAAAATCTAGTCACAACAATATCTAAGGCTATCGATCATTCACTAGCTAAGCATAAGGATTAAGAACAATGCATTATTTATTTATTTATTTACCAGGTGTTGGAAGTTGTTCTTAAAATCTGATCCCCCCTCCTTTGCCTTTTGTCACTTAGCACGCAAGCGACAAGGAGGGGTTATTTGTAATCGCCCAAGCCCACCGTTAGTAGATATTATCCGCTTTGGCCCATTCCGTATCACCATTAGCCTTACAGTTTTTAAAACGTGTCTACTAGGAAGAGGTTTCCACACTCTTATAAGGAATGATTCGTTCCCCTCTTTTACCGATGTGGGATCTCACATTATTACAGGGCCCCTCGCCCCTAAAAACTAGCGCCATTTCCTCTTTTACCGATGTGGGATCTCACATTATTACAGGGCCCCTCGCCCCTAAAAACTAGCGCCATTTCCCTACCCCCAACCTCTTTGGCTTCCATTAAGAAAGGTTGAGAATTTAGTTCTTCAGCGATGCACACCCCCCATCCACTTCAATCAGCTACTCCCAAAACAGCAATCAACTATGTCTTGTGCCTTCCCTGGTCTCTTTTATTTGGCCTTCCTCCCCACCACAACCTCATTTCAAACAGTTTTACATTTCGAGGGGGAGTTTTTGATTTCTTTGTGTAATAAACTTGGTTTTATTTTTTAAACTATTGTTCTCTTGTCATGAACACCTATTTATTTCGTCATCCCCTCAGTTTTCATGTTTATTTATGGATATCCAAACCGATGCTAGCATCATTCACTGTTTCACTAATCATGCTTGCAGGCCAGAATTGACTCACACAATAAAATTCTTTATGCTCGACATGCGGATCAGAGGAACGCAACCTTCCAAAGGGTTCTACAGACAGGGAGCGAGTTCGATCGTGAAGTTCGATCGATGCTATTGCGCAACCTTCCAAAGGGTTCTACAGACAGGGAGCGAGTTCGATCGTGAAGTTCGATCGATGCTATTGAGAGCAAATCTTATCAAACACGACTATAACCAACGAGGAGGTTCCAGGAAAATCTGATATTTTTTTTTTAATCTGGGCTGCTGGTAGGACCATGTTTTTCTTCTTCATTGGCTTTCATTGTGAGCCATGAGAGAGGTTGCATAGAGTCAAGAATGAGATTAAAATTGGAAGTTCCATGGGAGGTGGTGTGGTGGATTGTTAGAACACATACATACCGCTTGCTGGCTGCTGGTTTTGTGAATACTGATTTTTCTCAGTTGCAGTTATTGATTCTTCCAGTTTTTCCTTACAGATTCCAGGGAAACATGTTCAACTTTGGCTGTAAGTTGAATATTCCAAGTAATGCTAGTCTCTGTCCTTTGTTTTTTTTTTCATTCCTTTCTTTGCTTCAATAACAGTACATTTCTTCGAACCTCGAACTTCTTAATCGAGTCATAAGCCACTTTCTCACACCTGAAATTCTTCGTTTATTTTTCTGGGGGTCGGGATAGAGATTTCCCACTATTTTTCTCGTCTTTTATCTATATATATAATTTCAAATAATTTTTAATAGGCAATTTCTATCCATTTGAAAATAAAATCATTTATTTTTTTCTTTTTACTTTTTAAAAGTTAAGCTTATAAGTACATTACTTTTAGATTTTCTTCTTTTGTTTTATAGTTTTTTACTATATTTTTTTATAATTAAGTTTTATTTTTATTTTATTTAGAATTTGGTGAACTTCCACGATTTTGTAGCTTAGAAAAATGGAAAAACAATTAACACGAATATTATTTTTTTAAAAATAGCATTTTCCTATGAAATTAATTTATTCATTGATTAAAATTATATTGTACTTTCACTTGATATTGCAACATTATTTGTTTTATCTGCACGTAATATTATTATTTATATGTTGTTTACATTAATAAAAGTATTCAAAAATAAAAAATTTCAATAATATTTTTAAAAGTTTTAAAAAAAAATTAAGAATTTAATTTTAGATGAAAATCAATATTTTATTTCAAAAAAATCCTAAAATATTTTAAAGCTCTATTAATATTCTTAAATTTTAAAAAAAAAATTGAAAATGCATTTACCATTATCTATATAGTTAGAATCATTAGTATTTAAATATATTTATTGTCGTTAGAAATTTTTTTACCATAAATCACCTCTCAATAAATATCATGATTTAAATAAACAATAAGAACTCTTCAGTTCATTCCTTTTTAATTCACGATAACATTAAAGGAATTGGCGTTAAGCATTATGAGCAGAAGATTTTTATGTTTATATTTAAAAATGCTCATATCAAATATCTTCTTATTTTTATTTAAAATCTTTGAATTTATCGAGAGAATAAAATGAGAGAATTTTTAGAGATTGAAAAAAAAAAAAAACCTCATTCACATTTTTAGCCGTCTTTGTCAGAACTCCCGAGGTTTACTTTTTAACCAACTGAACACAATTTGTGCAAAATCCAAACTTGTTCGACCATACAGATTGTTCATGCGTGTTTAGTCGTCTGCGACACAACAACGTCGCATCTCAATTTTCAACAACATGACTCATGCATCATATAGTCATCCTATATCTCGGGATACGTTTACCATCTACACTTGTTTAGACACATCCAATGGAAACTAATTCATGTGTTGATCATCTTATCGAAATATCCCAAATATCTATTCATCTGGGTTCTCTCGAACATTGAACTCTCCCGTGTCTATGCTAAACCATTTACCGCTTGCATTCATAAATGAAAGAGAAACTAAAAAAATAGATTATTTAAAATTTTGAAAAAAAATTAAGAATATTAATAAAAGAAATTAAAATTTAGAGACATTATTTAACTCTAATGAAAGTCGGTTAAATATATTCAGGTGAAAGTGAGATCCTTGTCTGTCTTTGAATCATCGAAGCTCCGAGGGAGTGAGATTCGACTGTGGATTTCCACTTCAAACCGAACATTCAATCTCCCTTTGAAATTACTTTCAATTTCATCTCTGATTCCATCGTAGCATCATTTTCATGTTTCTCTGCTTCAATTCGAAATTACTTTCAATTTCATCTCTGATTCCATCGTAGCATCATTTTCATGTTTCTCTGCTTCAATTCGTGCTAAATCTTCCATCTCCAGTACCGGTTGGAGTTAGATTTGCAATACCGACAAAACCGTGTTGTTCGTCAGATGTTTGATTGATATCAGATCCAGATTTCAGGAACGATGGGTCACGTTAACTTGCGTTGTTCGTCAGATGTTTGATTGATATCAGATCCAGATTTCAGGAACGATGGGTCACGTTAACTTGCCGGTTTCCAAGAGAAATACGCGGCAATGGCGACTTCTTGATATTGTTTCCGCGGCGTTTTTTGGTTTGGTTGTGTTGTTCTTTCTTCTCGTTTTCACTCGTCTCGGTGACTCGCTTGCTGCCTCTGGCCGACAGACTTTGCTGCTTTCTAATGCTGATCCACGGCAGCGTCAGCGAATTATGGAGTTGGTTGAGGCCGGGCAAAAGCAGGCTATTGAAGCTTGCCCTGCCGCCGCTGTGGATCACATGCCTTGCGAGGATCCGAGGCGGAATAGCCAATTGAGCAGGGAGATGAATTATTATAGGGAGCGACATTGCCCGCCTCCTGATGAGACGCCGCTCTGCTTAATTCCACCGCCCGATGGGTATAAGATACCTGTCCAATGGCCGGAGAGCTTGCACAAGGTATTGAGGTTTTTCTAATTATTGGCGATGTTCAAAAAATTATAACGTCTTTAGTTTTATGATTCTTGCTTCGAGGTTTTTCTAATTATTGGCGATGTTCAAAAAATTATAACGTCTTTAGTTTTATGATTCTTGCTTCATGAAGATTTGGGACTTCTGTTTCTAAAACTAGAGGTGTACACTGAGATCCGAAAATAAATTGCAGTTTACAATGTTTAATCTATCCCTAGAGAGCGTGTGAATGACTTAAGTAGGCCAGCAATGAACTAACAAGCTGCATATGAACTATGGAGAGGTTGATAGTGGAGGTAACCGGATGAACATTTATGAATTAGTAGATTTAAATAAGCACAATTTATGACACTAAGGGTGATATGTTGAGAACAGCAATTCCCTACCCGATTGATTGGATACCGCACATTGTTTTTCACGGTTGTATCTGTTGTGGCGTGTCCTTTGTAGACAGCAGCAGGGGGGTCTGAATCATCTTTTGGGAAGCTGCAAGTTTGTTCATTCCCTTTCGAGTTGGTGCGTAATAGGGAGAGTTGCTCTTTAATCGAGGAGCTTTTATTCTTGTTCATTCCCTTTCGAGTTGGTGCGTAATAGGGAGAGTTGCTCTTTAATCGAGGAGCTTTTATTCTCCTTTTTGGAATCAGGGGAGATTCTAATATGTGTTTGTTGTTTTTCTATTACGTGGCGAGTGTGGCTCGAGAGGAATAGTAGGACTTTTAAGGGGGAGAGATCTTTGAAGAAGGTAGTGAGATCTAATGCGTCCTTATGAGCATTTGTTAATCTTATGTTTTGTAACTATTAGCTTGATTTTATTCTTTTCGGTTTGAGTCTTCTTTTTGTAGCCATGGATTCCTTCTGTAGGCTTGTTTTTGTATGCTCTTGTACATTTTTTATTTCTCTAAATGAAAGGTTGAGCAAGAAAACCACACATTTTTTTACTTGGAAGTAGAAATCACTTTTTTGCGCAGAAGATGGCCATGGGGACTGTGGGTGAGGAAGGAAGAAGATTGATATTCGTTTGATAGTTCCTGGGCTCAGGAGTCAGCAATACTTAATGTGATTTAAAATATGTGCTTGTGCAGATTAATTGGTGCAGAATGTAGTCCTAAGATCAATCTCTAAGTGCCATTTATTTACATGCGTTGCGCAGATATGGCACAGCAACATGCCTCACAATAAGATTGCAGACAGGAAAGGACATCAAGGATGGATGAAACAGGAAGGCCCGCATTTCATTTTTCCAGGTGGCGGTACCATGTTTCCAGACGGTGCGGTGCAATATATTGAGAAACTTGGACAATACATTCCTATAAAGGGTGGCACTCTAAGGACTGCACTTGATATGGGCTGTGGGGTAAGACAAATCCTTTTTTCCTTACTGCCCCATGTCGAAATTTTGTTCACAGTTTTAAATTTTAATAAAGAGATCACGAATTTGATGCTCTTTGCAGGTTGCTAGTTTCGGGGGGTATCTGCTTGCTGAGGACATTCTTACTGTGTCTTTTGCTCCAAGAGATTCCCATAAATCCCAGATTCAATTTGCCTTGGAAAGAGGGGTTCCAGCATTTGTTGCCATGCTTGGAACTCGGAAACTCCCTTTTCCAGCATTCTCGTTTGATTTGGTGCATTGTTCACGTTGTTTAATTCCGTTTACTGCTTACAGTGAGTTCTAGTAACCTTAATCTGCTTGAATTAAATATAACCAAATCGTGATTTTATGAGCTTATAGGAGATGTTTATATCCTCTTTTTAGAATTATCACCAAAAAGTTATTATATGATAATAAGTCTGATGCATGGCCAATAAAAAAGTAAGAAGATTCTTTTGTTTTCATCTTATAAATGATTTAGATAATGAGCGAGCTCCCTTAGAATGTTATAGTTTGGACTTAAATTACCATAAATTTCAGTTATTTATAGATTAAAACATTTGGCTTTTAAACATGAAGTGAATTCCATGCCATTTGTCTCCGCTCCTCTCTTTTCAACAATATTACAATGTGTTGATTTCTTTTAATCATATAATTATCTGTTTTTTGCAGATGCTACATATTTCGTCGAAGTTGATCGTGTACTTCGCCCAGGGGGGTATTTGGTCATATCTGGACCACCTGTACAATGGCCCAAACAAGACAAAGAATGGGCAGATCTTCAGAGTGTTGCAAGAGCATTATGTTACGAGTTAATTGCCGTAGATGGTAATACCGTCATCTGGAAAAAGCCTACTGGAGATTCGTGTCTTCCTAATCAAAATGAATTTGGACTTGAATTGTGCAGTGAGTCTGATGATCCAAATCGTGCGTGGTAATTACTGTTGAAAGCCCATTTTAACTAGACTTATTGGCGTATGGAAAATTCTCATTAATCCATAAAATAAGTAGTTCTTTGTCACGACTTTGTATTATTGTAGGTACGTGAAATTAAATAGATGCGTGAGTAGAACGTCTTCTGCCAAGGAAGCGATCGATGTTGGCACAATTCCAAAATGGCCAGATAGGCTAGCAAAAGCTCCTTCAAGAGCTGGAGTTGTGAAAAAAGGTCTCGACGTGTTCAATGCTGACACTCGGCGATGGGAAAGGAGGATTTCTTATTACAAAAAGTCTTTAAATCTGAAGCTGGGCACCCCAGCAGTGCGCAATGTGATGGATATGAATGCATTTTTTGGAGGCTTTGCTGCAGCCATAAGATCTGACCCAGTTTGGGTGATGAACGTTGTTCCTTCTCACAAGCCAGCCACTTTGGCTGCTTTATATGACCGAGGCTTAATTGGAGTCTACCACGATTGGTGAGTTTCAAATTGCTTACTTTAATTCTTCCTAGAGAATGTTTTCGAAACAGATTAGTGATCTTCCCTGGGATTTTAGCTAAAATTCTCTCTTTAAAGTTTAAACCATTATCATTCAATTTTTCTTTTTTGATAGCCACTTCTGAAGTATATATTTATTTTCTTCGTTTCGAGTTTCGAGAGGCCGGTGATGTGGGTACCCTCACAACTAGAATGTTTCGAATGCATTGTTTATTGATGAACCAATATTTGATGGTTTCAGGTGTGAGCCTTTCTCAACGTACCCACGTTCTTATGATTTTATCCACGTATCCGGAATCGAATCACTCGTTAGATATCCAGGTTTCGACAAGAGCAGGTTTGCATTGTTATTTTCACCCATTCTCAGTTATTTCTTTCTGCTGCCTTGTTATTCCCTTGTTTTCTACCGCAAATTTTCATTCATCAGTCTAAAGCTTTGACAACGAATGGCATGGCATAAAACCCAATGTAGTTTTTATGTAAAGAATAATATTGAGGTCTTTCGAGTTGATTCGAAGCGAACGAGTTTATCGACTCGAAACAAAATGATGGGTAGTTTAGTAAACTTCAAAAGTTGATTCGAAGCGAACGAGTTTATCGACTCGAAACAAAATGATGGGTAGTTTAGTAAACTTCAAATTTAAAACTTAATAAATAGGCCAATCACTTATGACGATAAAGAAGAGTTAGTAGTTAATTTGTATTGTTCCCGAAAATAGTCATTCCCCCCTGAAAGCTTATCATCTAGTACAGTCTTTTCATTTGTATAACGTCCAGATGAAATTGTAAATTTTTGTATACCTTGTTCAAAGAAAAGAACTTCATATATAAATTTGCATATTTAACAACTTATCTTGATCTTGTATACCTTGTTCAAAGAAAAGAACTTCATATATAAATTTGCATATTTAACAACTTATCTTGATCTAATTTGTTGATCCCAAAAATAGGCTCTTTTTCATGTATTGTGGCTGTCCATATTATCCTAGCTTTATAATCAAACCAAGTAAAATGAACTTTTTGGCTCCCTGTAGGTGTAACCTTGTTGATCTAATGGTGGAAATGGACCGAATCTTACGTCCTGAAGGTGGCTCCCTGTAGGTGTAACCTTGTTGATCTAATGGTGGAAATGGACCGAATCTTACGTCCTGAAGGGACAGTAGTGATTCGAGATCATCCTGAAGTTATTGAAAGGGTAAACCGTATAGCTCGAGCAATAAGATGGACCACCACAATACACGAAAAAGAGGCAGGATCACAAGGAAGAGAAAAAATTCTCGTTGCAACCAAAAGCTTTTGGAAGCTACATTGAACATTGAAAGGATGATGGGGCTGTTTATCCTAGTGATCCAGGTATTATTCCTTTTTTGATCCCTATTTTAAGTCAATATAGTAGTGAAAGATTAGAAGGTGAAGAAAGCAAAAACAAATGGAAAGAAGCTGCACAGTAGGTGGCAAATATTCTTTGTTCTAGTTCTCATAATTTCAAAAGATTAGCTGATTTGTGTGTTTTTTGCGCCAATCTGATCACCATTTTCAACTTCCTGCATTAGCTAAATGTTTCCTTTTGCAGTAACTTTATTTATAGGGCATTTGGTAGCTTAAAGTCATGCCTACTTTTATGGTGGAAATGGAGGTAATCCAAATCACCGATTCACATGTATGTTTACGAAAATGCCCCGTAAAATATTTGTATTGGGAGACGTAAATTTGATTCGTGAACTTTTCTTTTATTTTGGTCTTTATATGTTCGTTTTATTTTAGTTCTGTGATCTTGTATTCAACTTGAGTATAGATCAAGTAATTAAAGTATATACCATCGCACTTAAGAAGTTAAAGATTTTGATCCCCCTCCCAGATATTCTTGAACTATATATATATATATATATCCGAAACAAAGTCGAGAACTATTGATCTTTAAGGTGGTAATTGGCTATGGATTATATATATATATATCCGAAACAAAGTCGAGAACTATTGATCTTTAAGGTGGTAATTGGCTATGGATGATGACAAAAATTAGGATATAATTTAATCCATGGGTGTGTGGGAATGTTATGCCTTTTTTAGTAGCTAGAAAATGATGTTTTTATTGGTGGTTTGTAATTGACTTTTACTCCCTTGTTCTATTCAATTGGGAATGATCATATTATTATTGGCTTTAATTTTATTTAGAATTAAAAATTAATTGTCACTCTGTTTCATTCATTGTCATATTATTATTGGCTTTAATTTTATTTAGAATTAAAAATTAATTGTCACTCTGTTTCATTCATTGTGATCTTGACACGTTTATGACAAGCTTTAAGAGGGACTCAAATTTCATTTATATTTTTTGCCCGACTTTGTGGCTTTACCGAACCTTTAGTGAGACTTGTTAGACGAACACGACTCTCCACAATAGTATCGACTTTGTGGCTTTACCGAACCTTTAGTGAGACTTGTTAGACGAACACGACTCTCCACAATAGTATGATATTGTCCACTTTGAGCATAAGCTCTCATGGCTTTGCTTTGGGCTTCCCAAAAGGCCTCATATCAATGGAGAGTGTATTCTCAGATTATAAACCCATGACCATTCCCTAAATTAACCGATGTGGGACTTTCATCATCCAACAAGACTTACCTTCGTCAACCGAGCATAACTTGTGCAAAATTTATTAATTAATTTGAATTAAACTATTTAAAATTGGGCAAATGATGTTAGAAATAGGGATTGGTATTTTACAAGCTTGACTATTGGTTCTAACGTAAGCAAGTTGACAACCATACAATTGGGTCGAGCCGAACTCAAGGGCAAAAAAGTAAATAGACTCAATATATATATATATATAAAAGAAAGATGAGTTTTAAGTGTGGTTGGGAAGCAAACATTCAATGCTTTGCTCTTAGACAGCCCCCCACCCTCTTATTTAATGTCCCTACATTGGGAAGCAAACATTCAATGCTTTGCTCTTAGACAGCCCCCCACCCTCTTATTTAATGTCCCTACACTTTTCTTTTAATATATATATATATATCTGCCTTAATTTGAATATATAAAAATATATTAATATTTATATATGAAAAATAGTGGGGACGAAAAATGTAATTCTCGGTCTCCGTCCTCATTTAGCTAACGAAAAAAAATATCTACTTGCTTATTTCCATTAGCAGCTCTACTCGAATTAAATAGACATTTCTACCCAAATGTTAACTAAGTTCATATATAATTTTTTAGATTTTTTTGTCTCCACTTATAAACCGACACTTGTTTTATGTCTCCAACCAAACAAGTATTGTCCATATGTGTAGTCCATTTATTCAAACTCGATCATTAAAGCATCTATTATTATTATTATTATCATTAAATTAAAAAAAAAATTAAAATTTTTAAAAGTTGAATAATATTTTAAACAAATACTTTTGTTTTCCATCCAAAATTAACTTAATAGTATTTTTTTTAAAAAAAAAATCATTTTAAAAATATTTTTGGCACATTAAATAACGTAATAGTATTATATATATATTGTAATTTATTAATTTAACATATTTTAAACATTATGCAATATTTGAAAAAATGTATTTATTTAATGCACAGTAGGTTATAGGGTTTAAATTGATAATGTAAATAAACCACAAATAAAATTAATTTCCATATAAATCCATGAATTTAAAAATTAGATAACTACAAAAATAATAATTATAATAATGATAAATACAATTTAAAAAAAAAACATTAAAGTTAGAGCTAATTATAACATTTTTTAAAAATTAAAATGTACACTAATTTTGTGTTCTTCACCCCCGTTGACTGAAAACTGACAATTGATTTTACATTCAGCGAACAACAAATTATGTCTAAATTCTCGTGAATTTCGTGAAAAGTTGCTGTTCTTTCCATCGGATTCCCTCGCCGTTACATTTCTTCTTAAAGCTCTCCGTAAGTTCTCCAATTCCCCCAATCAATTTGATTCGATTTTCCAGCTTCACAGATTCTTCATCTTCTTTGAATTTTCCCTCAGGTCCCAGCTGATTCTTCGTTGCTTCTGGTCTGTCGAATCCGGAATTTCGGATTGGCTTCACTTTGATTCTTCAGGAAAAGATCAGCTCGATTCGTTTCGTGAAATACCTTTTGCTTTTTTGGAGTTTTGTGATTTTTTGACCTAATTTTTTCACTGAAACTTCGAAGTTCATACTAGAGATCGATAATCGAATCGCTAGAATGCGTGATTCAATCCCACTGTACTCTTCTCCCATCCGGACGGTGGATAATTCGCCTCTGCTTGGCTATTCCGTCGCCGATGGATTCTTCCGATCGCGAGGGTTTATTCGTCGTTCGCCTCAGCCTCTTCGTGGCGCGGTTCGTCTTCTCCGCCGTGCAAGTGGCCGGCAGATGATGCTTCAAGAGCCCTCCGTTCGTGTTCGTGAAACCGCCGCCGAGCAGCTGGAGGAACGGCAGAGCGATTGGGCGTACTCGAAGCCGATAATCCTCTTGGACCTTCTATGGAACTTGGTTTTCGTCGCCATTAGTTTCACTATCCTAGGGCTCAGCACGAGCGAAAATCCTTCTGTGCCGCTTAGGTTTTGGATCATTGGATATGCTTTGCAGTGTGCTCAGCACGAGCGAAAATCCTTCTGTGCCGCTTAGGTTTTGGATCATTGGATATGCTTTGCAGTGTATAATTCACATGTCCTGTGTTGCAGCTGAGTATAAGCGGCGGCACTTGACGAGAGAGCCCACCGGATTGGACCGTGGCAGCGACTGGATGAGCGGCGATGACTCGAATTCCGCCTCTGGAAGTGATGGAGATGAAGAACTTACCGTGAATGAAGAAGAAC